TGTGTGTGTGTGTGTACATTTCTCTATGAATGTACAATGCTTTAGGGTTTGAACAATTATACAAACTCTGGAATTAATGATCTTCCTGACCTCATCTGGATTTGAAAATGTGTGTGTTGTGTATTGAGATCTAAGTTTCCAGTTAGAGGAATTATTACAAGTTAACTAAGTGTCAGAAATAGTAAAGGTCCAGTATTTGTTAACAGTCCCGTACTGTCCCTTCGGCCCGCTGCCAGGTTCTCATTCAGGGTCTTCAGAACCTCAACAGAGCAGTGCACCAGGATGTGGTTGCCGTTCAGCTGTTGCCACGGAATCAGTGGGTGGCGCCCTCTGCAGTGGTGCTGCAGGATGAAGGCACAGCAAAGGACGATGATGCTGAAGAGGAGGAGGAGAAAGCGGTGAATTTGAATTTTTGATTAGATTGACTTTGTCTTTGCGTACAGGATGCATACAGGGTGTGTGTTGTTTCCCCTTTTATAGTCGAAATCAGATTCAACGGGGTATGTATTGGTGTGGATGAACACTATCCAGGTGCTGTGCTACACAAAAGATTTCACAGCTACAGCTCTTCAATCTTAATGACCTCCGTGTTCCTGTGTGTCTGAGCAGTTGAGGATATCGGCAGCTGAAGCAGCCAGGAAGCCCACAGGCAAAATAGTGGGAATCATCAAAAGGAGCTGGAGGCCATACTGTGGCATGCTCAATGCCTCCCAGATTAAAGAGGTACATCTCGACTGCTCTATTTCATTTTGCCTGGTTTGAAAATTTGAAGTCATCCTCAAATTTGACATGTGTTTTTACTTACATCTGTCTCTCACTCCCTCGTCTCTTACCCTCAGCACTCACCACCCCTTTTCTTTCGTTTTTCATTCAGTCAACACGCCATCTTTTCACCCCAGCAGACCGCCGTATCCCTCGCATTCGCATTGAAACACGTCAGTCATCCACACTGGCAGGCCAGAGGATCATGGTGGCCATTGATGGCTGGCCCAAACACTCCAGATATCCAAATGTGAGTTGGAACCTCCACAGAACTTGGATATCCTAGTATAAGGGGTTACATATCCACTTGCCAAAGTTTGACAGGAAATTGGATTGGTTTCTACATTTATATGACGCCACAATTCCTTAGCATTACATGTAATAATATGCACAAAAATCTTTTTTTCCCCTCTTTGTCAGGGTCACTTTGTGCGCAGTCTGGGAAGTGCAGGGGAGAAGGACACAGAGCAGCAAGTGCTGCTACTGGAGCATGACGTTCCCCACCAAGACTTCTCTCAGGCTGTGCTCAGTTTCCTTCCCAAGATGCCGTGGGCCATTACACCAGAGGTAAAAACAGCGTTTCTTGAGCTACACTGAGTAGTATTTTAGTTTTGCTGATCATTTATCAGTGGCTCTCTCAACCTATAATTGGAGAACACGTATGTGTAGGTCTGTGTATATGTTAATGTGGATGTGTGTGGTACAGGACATGGTGAAGAGAGAGGACCTGAGGCATCTGACGGTGTGCAGTGTGGATCCTCCAGGATGTACAGACATTGATGATGCCCTTCACTGTAGAGAGCTGGACAATGGAAACCTTGAGGTACACATATCGTACATTAACTATAAAGTAACAGTAGTAAGTTATTTGTGTCTATATTTCAGAGTATTTTATTTGCTTACTGTAGGTGGGCGTCCACATTGCTGATGTCAGTCACTTCATCAGACCTGGCAACGCTATGGACAAAGAGGCAGCGAACCGTGGCACCACTGTCTACTTGTGTGGCAAAGTAAGAAAAACACTCTCACTCTCATCCGAACAGCATCAGAACACGTCATCAACATTTCACAAGACTCCATAAACCCTTTGACTTATATTTGGAAAAGGTTGTTTGCTGTTAAGGTGAACAGAGAATGTCTCTTTCCTTTCCTTTCCTCTCTATTTTATTTCTGAATATATGCTGAAGTTGCCAAACACATTTGGTGACAGTATTGAATGTTTATTAAAATCAATTTAACGATTCAGGTTTTCTTGAAATTCTGGATATTGTGACATTTTTTGAATTTGATTACTTAACCTGGTTTATTTTGTTTCCATCAGAGGATAGATATGGTTCCTGAGCTGCTCAGCTCCAATCTTTGTTCTCTACGCTCCAATGTGGAAAGGTGAGGAGATAGCGATACATATATACACTAGCACTCACACAATAATCAATATCATCAATGCTCCTTCTTTTCCCAAAAGTGCAGTGAGTAAATTGATTATAGATTTTTGTCATTCCAGATGAGGTGAACTGAATGCAATGAAAATGCTTTCATTCTCTTTGTTTTGTTTTTTACCAGGATGGCTTTCTCGTGTATCTGGGAGATGAACGACAAGGCTGAAATTATAAAGACCCGGTTCACAAAAAGTGTCATTAACTCCAAGGTATTGTACGAACGTGTGATTTACAATGACAAAAATATACATTATCCTCAGTGTTTTGCAATGATGTGTAAATGCCCTGCAACTTATCCTACTACCACATGGTTTTATTATCTATTTGTAAGACACAAAGTTACAGGTCAAGATATTTATAACATGATTTTATAGCCTCCTTGTTTTCCCCTCTACCGTTCAATCTGGTTTAGGCATCTTTGACCTACGCTGAGGCCCAAATGAGGATTGATGACACCACCATGAATGACGATATCACTCAGAGTCTTCGAGGTCTCAACAAACTAGCCAAAATCCTCAAGAGGCAGAGGATAGAGAAAGGGTAAGGACTGGGAAACATGCATTCCATCCCAAAACTAAAGCAAGGAGTTATGAGATATTAGAACAGAATCAGGAGTGTTAGTTTAGTAGTTAATCATAACTCTTATAACTCCTATATATTTAAACTAACTGTATTTAACATGAATGGTGTTTTGTGCTGCATTTGATATCTTTCAGGGCGCTGACACTGTCATCCTTAGAGGTCCGTTTCCACATTGACAGTGAAACCCACGACCCCATTGACCTCCAAACCAAAGAACTCATGTAGGTAGAAGAAGCAGTATTCTGTAGAATCCTTTTTTAAACCCTTTTCTCCACAAAAAGCAATTTCTGTGTTTCTGTGTGTCATGCTGTGGGACACGTGTAATAAACCCATCTCTTGGTTATTAGGGAGACAAACTCCATGGTAGAGGAATTCATGTTGCTGGCCAATATTTCCGTTGCCCAGAAGATTTATGATGAATTTCCAGATTGTGCCATGCTGAGAAAACATCCAGCACCACCTCCATCTAACTACGACATCCTGCTCAAGGCTGCAAAGTCCAAGGTGAGTGCAAACAGGGTGGTTTTGCAGAAAAATTGCTTTGGTTTTCAAGTTATATGCTCGCTTCTTGAGCTAATTTAATTAGTTTGCTGTGGTATGAATGGCGGATGTTGTCCGTTAATTAGCAGTAGCTTTAGAATCACTGCAGTAGACTAATAAAGTACAAAAGCTGCCCTCCTTGATAAAAAATAACCAGGCTCATGATTCCTACTATAAATATATCTTAATGTGTCAACCTTTCCCTTTCTTGTCAGAATGTGGAGATCCACACAGATTCAGCCAAGGCACTGGCCGACTCCCTTGACGGGGCCAAAGTGGACGGCTTCCCGTACTTTAACACGCTACTGCGCATCTTGGCCACTCGCTGCATGATGCAAGCTGTCTATTTTTGTTCTGGCATGGACAGCGATTTCCACCACTACGGTCTTGCTTCACCCATTTATACACACTTCACATCACCTATTAGGAGGTATGAAAACAGATATTCTGCACATCTTGATTAAATATGTTGGTTTCTTAATAACAAAGAAATGTTTACAATTGACAAACTACCGCACCTCAGTTCTTTCTAACCTCCTTATGTCATCCATATTGTTCCCTTTTTCTCTCTTAAACCTCCACTTCCCCCCTTCTCCCCCTCCTCCCCCTCCACCCTGTTCATCTGCTCTACTACACAGGTATGCAGATATTATAGTACACCGCCTGCTGGCAGTGGCCATAGGAGCTGACAGCACCTACCCAGATTTGATGGACAAACATAAGCAATCGGCCCTTGCCAACAACCTCAACTACAGACATAAAATGTCTCAGTATGCACAGAGGGCATCTGTGGCCTTCCACACACAGGTAAACACATATGGACACACTGCTTTGATTTCAGTGAACTTAGACATAAAAAACCTATTGTGCTTAACCAGCATAATACAAGCTTTGACTGACCTAAAGTGAGAATCGGTATAATGTCCATTTATAACCCCATGCACCCTTGGTTTAAGTAAAAACAGACCCCATATGATACTGCTTATTCAATTCAAATTCATGCTTTTAAAACCAATTATCTCTTTCCAGTTGTTCTTCAAGAGCCGAGGCATACTGAACGAAGCGGGATATGTTCTGTTTGTGAGGAAGAACGCAATCATTGTACTCATTCCAAAGTTTGGTCTGGAGGGAACGGTCTTCTTTGACACCAAAGACAAGGCGGCCCCAAACCTTGTTTTTGATGAAGAGGTATAAACACTTTATTTTTTATAGATGATTCTATCAATACTGAGAAACTAATACCATCAGACGAGGGTGCTTAAAAGATCTCTTCTGTATGTGTGTTTTAGGGTCCCACTCTGAAGGTAGAGCAGCACACTTTCTGCATATTTGACAAGGTGAAGGTCACCATCAGCCTAGACGCCTCCAATATTCAGCACCAGAAGATCCGCATGGCTCTGATTGACCCTGTGGTAAGGAATGACTCCACTCAACATGGGGTTTGACTATCAAACAGCCCATGTTACTTAATTATGATGATCTATACATATTTAATTTTAGCCTAAGATATTTTTTTTCTCCTGTTTTGTGCTGCAACTAACAGTCTGCATTATTTAAGTTTGATTGAGAAAAGTTAACATTAGTCCTAATAGGAGAATGTGTTCAAAATTGCCAGCATTTTGTTTAATTGTCTTTATTTTAGATCCCTGGTGTGAGTGTTCCAGCCCCAGATGATGAACCACAGGCCAAGAAACCAAAACTGGACCGCTGACACAGAAAGCAGCATAGTATTTCACCTGAACCACCAGCTGATCTTCCAGATCAACAAATTGTAAAAGTCTATAAAATAACCAGTTTGGACCGGTTGATGCATTGACACAGTTAACTGTTATACTTTGAGCAAGTGTCCATTTTAGTAAATCTACCACAGTGAAGGTTCACTGCTCTAATCTCACATGCACCACTCTGCTCATTTTACATTACGTCAAACACTTGTTGGTACATAAGCATGGATAGGTGCAACAGACTGTCATATATGCTGTGTAACCAGTCAAATAACAGTGTAGTAGTTGACTCAATCATTAAAGTGTTTTTTTTTTTACTAATTTGGTTGTGTGTGTTTTGTAGGCGCAGCATGAATCATAATCTGTAAAATTACTTGTACAGAAAATTATTCGCAACACTGACAGAAACAAGTTATCTACAGCCTTGTTTGTCAACCCAAATTTAAATTTTTTTTTACAAAATGAATAGATTTAAATATTAATTCTACATTAAAGGATTTAATCTTATTAGACCAAAATTCTATAAATATGAAAAATTGTACTGTGTATCCCAAAAACAAGAATTGCCACAATACAATTACAAAGCGATAATGAATGTTTACTGAATTATTGGAAGCTTGATCCTGAATATTGTTTTAGTCTTAATTCTTGACCAAACTAGTCAAAAATACTGAAAACAGACATTGTAGAAACACCCAACTCAAAAATAAACGTCTTCCCAAGCCAGACAAAGAGTTCAACTTAATTTAATGTGACAATCCAGCCCATGCTTAAAGTATATCATAAAATGGTAAACAAATGGCTCAATCAGCTTTTAATTCACTAGTGGCATTATTCGGTGTCTTATTCCAGAATAAATATTCTAACAACCGAAATAATCCACAAGTAACCTGAATTTTCTTACTCATAAAAAAAAAGCTCATTTTAAAACATCATGATAAACGGTTTTATAAAAACATAAATACAGTACAAATCTGATGTCATTTGAAAGTCTATTAGGTCGATCATGTCAGCACCAAATAAATTGAAATGATGGCATTAGCATCAATACAGCATTCAAGGTTAATGTTGTGCAAGTTTAATACAGAATTGTCATTTTTTTTCTCCCCCCCTTATCGCACCAGTATACTGGCTCCAAAAGAGCTGCTGACTTTGAATTATAGCTTTTCAGCATCTTACAGTGGGACTTTGGGTTAGTCTTATCCCTTATAACCTGTGATAAAACATACTATGGTAGAGCATTTGCTTTAGTCAGGCAACTTGAACTTTAAACCTTAAAAAGGAACCAATAACCACTTGTGAAACCCCTCAGTTCTGTTCATACTTCATTTAAACATTTAACCCCATTCATCCTAACCAAATAGATTTGACATAAATGCTTCAAACATAGTGTAAACGTTTTGTATTTGATTGCAAAAAAAAAATCATCTTCAACTTCCACTGGAAGAGGTGTCCCTTTAAATTCATCAGTCAGATGGCTCAGTGGTGAGGATAAAATACCTGGAAAATAAAGCTTAGTTTTAGCGAGATGAAAAGGAAACTAAAAGAAACTTACATGGCCTTGCCGCATGCATAATACTGTCAGTAAGTGCTAATGCGAGTTTGTGACTTTTATCTAATATAATATATCCACAGCCCTGTATTTGTGTGTAAAGGGTTAACCGTACCTTTACTTTAGTGTTTCGAGTGACTTGGAAGGCTTCTTCTGCCAGGTTTGAACTGAAGGACTCTTTGCTGTAACAGTCTGAGCTGAGGCCATCTATAAGACTGGCAGTGCCTGCTGAGGTAGTGTTGTAACCGCTGTCCACCTGAACACGCACAAAAAAGCAGTCCGTTACTAATATTCCATTAGACAAACGTATCAATATGAAATGAATTAGTTCATTTAAGAGTAAGTTAAATACGAAGTGAAATAAAAATCGGTCAGCCTCACACAAACCTGCATGCTGGAATCGTAGCGTATGCTGCTTCCCTCTGCCAGAAGAGATAGAGAGCTTTCCGTTACCGACACGTTGCCCATACGAGAGCTGGTCAGCTGTCCCAAAGGCCCTCCACCTTCCTCCTCTTCATCCTCCAACCTTCCTTCTATCCCCGTCTCCTTGTCCTCCTCCATTTTCACAGGTTCCATAGGATCCAGGCTAACTCTCTCAGTGTCAGCAGGGTGAGTGTTGCGGGCCATGGGTGAGGATGGATCCAGCTCCATAGGGGGGAGAGAAGATGAGGAGGAGGAGGAGGAGGAGGAAGAGGACAGTGGTTCCTCAGTCTCCTGATTATCTTGGAGCCTGGGGTTGAGGATCGGGGAGATGAGAGGAGGGGAGGCCCAGCAGCGTACTCTGGGCCGGGGCTTGGGTCTGGCATTGTGCTGAGGCTCACTGTGACAGTGGAGCTGGTGCGGGGAGCAGCTACGAATGGGAGAGCAACCCTCGACATATGGGCTCTCATTGCACGAAGTGACATCTATGTCCAGGGCACCACCACTTGGAGTCAAATTCCTCGTCTGCTTCCTCTCAGCTAAAGAAAGATTTAGATTCAGTTTTGAAGAGAAACATCACCACAGTGTCTTTTATTAATTCTACTTCATTTTATAAAACAAATAGTTTACCTGAGCCTATGGGTGTGCATGCTGCATGTGCAACAATAGGAGAAATTGTGGGGGAGACGAGGCCCGCAGGAGACGACCTATCAGGGAACCTGGGACTGGTGATGCTGCCAAGGCTGCAGTCCCGGTAGCAGCCATGCTGGATGGGACTGGACGAGAACTGACCCTATAGTTAATACAATGCAAATACAGCATAAGTGTTCATTTAACTAATAATAAACAGTTCAATCCAAATACAAAAGAAAAACCCTGCAACTGAGTAAAAAATCACTTTGAGCAAAACTGTTAGTTGTGAGGTCATGTTACTGCTTTTGAGAAATGTACAGCACTCTAGGGATGAAAAGATTAGTTAACAGAGGATGGATTATGGATTCCAAGTAAAAACAACAAACATTTGCTAATTGCAGGTTCAAAAATATCCGGCACCGTTGCTAAATCGGTTGCTAATTTAAAAGATGCATTACACGCAAAAGGTGGCAAAAGTACACAAATTCTTTAGTCAAGCAGAAGTACTGATTCAACTTCTTTACTCAGGTAAAAGTACAGGCTCTGAAATGTACTCAAAGATCCTCTCTTGGTTTCTCTGAAGGACATTTCTACCGGCTGCTTATGTGCAAAGCTAACGAAAGTTACAAATAGTTTGTTTTTGTCATGTTAGGTCTGTCATGCTTTATATGCACCAGTCTTGATGTTGGGAATGTGTGCAATGATGCAAAAAATAATAATCAATAATTCCCCTCGAATACTAAAGTAACAAGCCTGTTTTGAAAATCTAAGAAGTATAAAAGAAAGATGTTTATCTAAAAATGTAGGGGGAAAAAGTAAGAAGTTGTCAGAGTAGAGTACAGATGAAAAACAACTTAAGTACAGTAACAGTCCACCTCTGATTAAATGGCATGCTCCAAGAGAAAAATATTACAAATGCACATTCCATAAAATAAAAAAATAAAAAAGATACATCCACACCAATTTTGACATACCAAGCGTATGGCAAAATAATCAACATTCGTATCCACACACTCACCGTAGAAGGAGTCGGAGCTACCACACCGCTGGACAAAGGGGAGGAAAATATAGAAGATATAGCTTCAATCCCTCCTACAGCGTCTTCTCCTTGGTTTAGAGAAGGCCTCTCCTGTCTGGCATGGCTTCTCTCTGGGCTTGGTGGGCTGGAGCTGTCAGAGCCGCTGTAACTGCCCTGGCCATCAAGGAAGAGTTTTCGTCTTAAGGAGGAGGAACTAAGACTCTCCTGCACAGCGGCACACGCTTCCTCATGGCGGTAATAATCCCCTAAGGAGAGGGAAGGAACAGACAGATAAAAATAGTTACTTGATGGTTAAATACTCCGTCATAACAACCTTCTCTGATTTGATTGTGCTGGCATTTATTCGAAGCTTACCTAGTACTTTCTCCAAATCAAAAGCCAAAGGTAACGAAAGATTTGTCTGACAAGCAACTGGAAAACAGGAGATCAAAAACAAATTAGTAGAAGGAAGACATAATATATATAACAATTTGTAAAAAGTAATTTCAAACACACACCAACCTGAGAGTTTTTCTGGCTCCTCTACAATCATTGCAGACATACAACCTACGTAAAGACACAACACAGTAACATGAACATTAGAATGCTTAAATAATGTATAAAACCAGAATACAACATTACATTTAAAAGGCAAATACAGGAGGGACTATAAAAGACTTGAAGGTGTTAAAAGGTAAACAATTAGAAAACTCACTTTTAGTATAGATCTGAGGGCCTTTACGGGTGTCTGGGGCTGCCCAGGGGGAAGGCACAATGGTTCCTTTGGTGAAAAACTTCATTGGGAGACAATTACAATCTATAAATCATCAATATATTAACTTCTATATCATTACACAACATAATTAGGTTTGAATTAGAATACCATACCTGCTCAATAGCATTCTGCCGCTTTTCCTCGATGTCAGAATCCATTCTAGATGTTTGATAAAAACATTTTTGTCACTTAAATTTCCCGCCGTCATTCATTTTCACTCTCACTAATACATCCAGATGGATAGTTAAGTAAAGCAGCACTATTACTTTGTTTTTACCCCCCTCAAGCAATTTCAGTGTCGTCACAATGTCATCCTTATTACCTACATATCTACTACAGAAACCGCATTTCAGTACATACCTTGTCTGGCTGAGGTAAAAAGACTGTCGCTGGATTTCCTCCGGGTCTATGTGTACAGGGAGGAGACTGGCCATTTCATCAATAGACCAGTTAAACTTGGGAGGAGTCTGGTGGAGAGACAGAGGAGGGGAAGTGAATTAAAGACAACATACACCCTTCAGTTGCACAATACTTGTGAGACATAATCAAGAATGTAAGCATTTGCAGTAAAAGATGTGCGTCTGTGAATGTGTCACCCAGTAGTATGTCCAGAAGATTTGAAGTGATAGGTGTGAGGTGTGTTCAAACTTACAGCTTTGCAAGGCTTGGACTTGAAGACGGATGGGCTTGGCACCAGGGCTTCACGGAGGTGGTGGTAGTCATTAGGACTTTCAAAGGGGTTTCTAATTGAAGGCCTGCCTGGAGTCTCTGGGGTGATCTGTACCTCAACCTGGTCCCCCATCGTTACTGACAACAACTAATACTCCAGTCAACCTAGAGGAAAAGAAAATGTCAGAAATACAATGGGCAATGAATGATCCACAAAAAAGACAGCCTTTGTTTGGTTATAAGGTGAATCTATGTTTTAGTTTGGTTTGTTAGCTACACTATCCCCCCTGTTACTATAGCGTTAACTTCGAAGGTAGCTATAAGCTGTAGAGGCAATTAGGTCACAGCGTTACGTTAAACGTTTCCTCCTGCCCTCTTTCTTAACCCTTTCCTTAAAAAAAAAACGAAAGGTACGTTTAAATATCACCTACATACATTTCGCTGTACATACTTACAGCTGTTATTGAGCCAGGACTTTGGACATACAGCTACAAGCAATGTTCATTGAAGAGTCAGCAAACAATCCGCAGTGAGAGGGTTCAAACGTTTATTTCAATTTCGTCCACAAGCCCGCTCAGCCAATAGAAATGTTGCAGGAAGTTCTTGGGAACCAATCAATGAGCTAACGAATGTCGTCACTTCCTCCTCCAGTTTCGTTAGGTAGCCTAGTTAGCATGCAGGTAGCTAGCTGCTAAAATAGTCCCTTAATTATTGTACATATGCAACTTTTGGGGGGTTCTTTTCTAATATGAGTACAAAACGTTTAAAGTCTGGTTGAACTGCTGTAATAACGTAATCTCGCATCGCGCCAGAGACCTCTTCAAGTGTTGTTTGTTAGCCACCTGCTAGCCAGCGTTGGCTAACTACACTCATTGAACACCATGGCAAGTGCAGCAAACGCAAACCTCAACGCAGTCCGGGAGACCATGGACGGTAAATATAACGCTGAGTGTATACAATGAACGTGACTTCAAATTCAGCTGCAAATAAGTTGGCCTTTTGCTTTTGCTAAGTCTTAGTTTGTTTGTAATCGCATTGCTAACAAATCGCACAGGACGTGCAACAGTCAAGTTTTGTAGAAATGAATCTAACTTGGTCATCTTGTCACCTTCTTCCTCCAACAGTGCTCCTGGAGATCTCCCGGTTACTGAACACTGGTTTGGACATGGAGTCTCTGTCCATATGTGTGAGACTGTGTGAGCAGGGCATCAACCCAGAGGCATTGTCTGCTGTCATCAAAGAACTGCGGAAAGCTTCTGAATCCCTGAAGGTACAGAGACAGGCTCCCAAAGAGCTTACTATCATATTATTGAAGAGACTGTGTCTGCAGGTAGTGTAGGTCATGTTGAAGTCTCAGTCCCATTTACCAACATTCATAACTGCTGATCTGTCAGGTGAATTACTAGACCTCAATGTGCTGTCTCTACAGGTGTCACACTGTCTAACCAGCTGTCCAAAAACATTCAAGTGGCATTGATAGAAAACTAACAACAGCAGAAAACACTCATACTTTAAAAGCTGTAACCAGTGCGCTGGTTTTATTGGATTAATTACTTGTATAATAATAATATTAAATATTATTATAAATAAATATATATATA